ACGCGACTAAAAAAACAAGAGTACAATCTCTAAAAAAACAAAAAACGAGAGAGTACCCGGCTCAACCACAAATAGATTTCAATATCTAAAAAGCACGCGAGAGTACGTGACTAAAACACACAAAAGAGTATTATCTCTAAAAAACACGAGAGGGTACGTGACTAAAAAACACAAAAGAATACAATGTCTAAAAAATGAGAGTACGCGAAAAAAACACAAAAGAGTACAATCTCTAAAAAAACATGAGAGTACACGACTAAAAGACACAAAAGAGTACAATCTCTAAAAACACGATAGAGTATGTGACTAAAAAACACAAAAGAGTACAATCTCTAAAAACACGATAGAGTACGTGACTAAAACAAACAAAAAAGAGTACAATCTCTTAAAAAAAACCCGAGAGAGTACGTGACTAAAAAACACAACAGAGTACAATCTGTAAAAAAAACACGAGAAAGTACGAGACTAAGAAAAACAAAAGAGTACGAGATTGAAAAACTCTATCATGAAATACTGATAGAACGTTAGCAGAAATTCAAATTTAATGGTAGGTTTACCGTGTACAAGGCTAGTGAGCACTCGAGGTAGAGGGTTACATTAAGAGGTAGTTTGTTCGAATAGGAGAGAAAGATTTAGATTAAAGTGATCAGGGAAACATCCTCTTGGGAATCAGTTCCACATTGCAGTGGTTCACGGGAAGAAACTGTTCGAGTGGAAGTTTCTTTCTCATCAATGGAACACGGAGGGAATGGCGGTGGTTTGCTACAATGTGAGTGGCATGGCGGGTCCTTGTTATGAAGTTTAGTCTTGGCAGAACCAAGGAATATAGTTCATCAGCGCATATTCCATAGATAGAGCAGTCAGCGGCTTACCATATTCCGACTGTGGGAGAGAAGTGGGAAATAATTCGTCACTCACAAGGACTTGGAGACGCTGTTGCACTCGACTAGACTAGAAAGTGGGGTGTGTGCAACGCCCGCACAAATATGTCAACAGTAATCCATTCTTGTCCTGATCTGACTCGTGTAAACGTAGAGGATAGCATGTGGAGCCAGGTAATTACTAGGGAGGTACAGGAAGCCGATCTTTTTTTTTTAACTGCATCTTTAGCGATGCATCGTATGGACGAGTTCCACTTGAGGTCAGGAGAGAGGCCCAATAGTCTCTGAAAGCACGTTGGCTTTCCGAGGTGACATCCATTCATCCTGACTAGCGCTAAATCGGGCTCTGAATCGACAATGGTGGAATGTAACTGTTTCGGTTTTCAGAAGGCTATTTGGAAAATATCTGTTTTGAGCGATTTCGCCGATGTATCGACATCATCAGAAAAAAAAATATTTCAGGTTAGCGATACGAACGCTTGGTTTTCATATTTCAAGTGTCTTATCACAGAATTGAACTTTATTATGGAAATTAGATTTGAACCCATTTCAATTCAGTTTATATTTTTATTGGTCTTTTAATATTTCTCCCAAATGTTATATATGCCACATAGTTTTAATATAAATTTAGTATATAACCCGATCGCACCATATCGTATTACTAACATTTCTCGTATGTTTAGGTCGAAAAAGACCACTATAATAACGTTTGAAGTAAATATATATATATATATATATATATATATATATATATATATATATAATCATTTATTCGAAAGTTATAACATAAAAACGTTATAAAATCACTACAAAAATAGCGATTTTGTTTCAATACTTCTGGTTATATACAATATGCGTATAAGGGACAAAAATAAATCTCTTGTGCGACTGTTAGAAAAATATAAAAATATATAATAAAAATCTTAATCGCAGTGCCTTGAAGTCATCTTCAATGAAACCTGTGTAAAAGAGTGAATACTATATATATATATGGAAAATTATTGACAAGGCTAGAATATGTAAAGCTTGGGATGACCCATGCCCTTTGTGCCTCCATGAAAAATTGCACATTATTAAACTTCTAAATAATAATAATCTATTAAATAATAGACACGAGTTAACGGTTTTTTGTAAGCATCATCAGATTTTTGGTTTGAATTATTAGATAAAAAAATTTATATAACTTGTTTAACAAATAGCCCAATCATCAGATTCATAGTAGGAATAATTAACTACAAACATGCATACAATATAACACACTTCATAATCCATAGCCTAAATTAGTAGTTTAAATACCTTACATATAAGATAACCCTTTATGAAGTCGTCAAAAAACAAACGTTACGAAAGTTTTTCTTTTTTATATGCACAATTCCCTTTCATAATAAAATAAAATAAAATAAAATAAATAAATCTCATAGACAAGCAAACTAGACGATGGCCAATACATCTTCGTTTCATTTTGACACCCCCCACCTTTCCCCGACTTGACACCTTGAAAGTATCTCTATACCGCTACTTATTATAAACACCTACACTCGCCTACTTAATTTAGACAATTCACCATAGCTGTTACCATGGGGATTTTGATTTCAATTTTAAAACAAGTAAATTTCAGATATACGTTATTCCAAAAATTTCTGCTTGAAGATGGAACGGACCTTATTTTACTTTCAACTCAATTTAATTTAAAGGATTATATTGAAGTTTTCGGCTCTTGTTTTGAAACATGAGACCTCTTATGTAGCGATTTGGAATCATATTTTTAAATAAATAATTATTGAATCAAAGTAATGAATTAGTATTAAATTTCGACATAAAAACAAATTCAAATTTCCATGATATAGATTTTACTTTATTAGCTACTATGTTTCTCTTCAAATGTCGAATGTAGAACTAATTCTAATTTCTATATTAATTATATCTTATAATTGTCTCCTGTCCTATGAATTCTCACTCCTTTTATCACCTACACCTCTTTATCTATATATTTTAGGGTTGTTTTTAAATGTAACTTTTTTATTTTTAAGTACAACTTTATATTTTTTAAATATAACTTGTTTTTGATTTAACTTTTAAATTAAATTATTTCATTTTTTATTCTAAATGTATAGTGTAACCCGGATATAAGAGAGATTTTCTCTGGTCCCAAATTAGAGCCTGTGTTAATGTATATAAAATAGACCAAATCCGAATATAAGAGAAACCCGGATATAAGAGACTTCTTCTCCGGTCCCGACAACTCTCTTATATCCGGGTTACGCTGTATTACTTATATTTTATTTCTAAATATATTTTATTCTTTAGTATGACTTATACATTTTATATTAAATATAAACTTTTTATAATATAATTTTACTTAATTTATTATCGACATTATCTAAATATGACTTATTTTTAATTTATTTAAATATATCTTATTGTTAAATATAACTTGTCTTTGGGTGAGTATTTTTAAGTATGATTTTGTATTTTTAAACATAACTTTATATAATTTAAAAAAAAAATTTATTCCTCTTTTAATTTTAAATTAATATTTCATTCTTCATATAACCCAAGTTTAATGTCATAAGGTTAATATCCGAGTTTAATTTAATTCCGATACGAACTCAGTCTATATCAGGGTTGAACAAGACTGACGAGTTTCGTCAGTTTAAAGAAGCCAATTACCCATGTGAGGTAATTTTAGATTTTATTGTGTACTAATTATTTGCTCTGTAATAATAAATGCATTGAGTTCTTTTTGTGGATCAGTTTTGATATTTTATATTACGAGAATCCATAAAAGACTGTAAGCCGGGTTATTTAATGTTCATACAAGACATTGAGATCAAGCTACTGATTAACTCGGTCATATATTATTTATAGGAGAGTTAGACATAATACTACTGAAAGCCGGGTTATATGTTAGCCATGGCAGGCTTAGAAATCATGCTACTGAATAGCCCGGTCGCATCATAATCATAGGAGACCATGACATCATGCTACTGAATAGCCCGGTCGCATCATAATCATAGGAGACCATGATATCATGCTACTGAATAGCCCGGTCGTATCATAATCAGAGGAGACCATGACATCATGCTACTGAATAGCCCGGTCGTATCATAATCAGAGGAGACCATGACATCATCTTTACTGAATACCCGGTCGCATCATAATCCATAGAGACCATGACATCGTAACACTGAATAGCCCGGTCGTATCATAATCAGGAGACCATGATATCATGCTACTGAATAGCCGGTCGTATCATAATCAGAGGAGACCAAGATATCATGCTTTACTGAATAGCCCGGTCATCATAATCATAGGGAGACCATGATATCATGCTACTGAATAGCGGTCGTATCATAATCAGAGGAGACCATGACATCATCTTACTGAATAGCCCGGTCGTATCATAATCAGGAGACCATGACATCATGCTACTGAATAGCCCGGTCATTATCATAATCATAGGAGACCATGACATCATGCTACTAGAAAACCCCAGTCGCATCATAATCATAGGAGACCATGACATCATGCTGCTGAATAGCCCGGTCGTATCATAATCAGAGGAGACCATGATATCATGCTACAGACCAGCCCGGTCGTTATCATAATCAGAGGAGACCATGACATCATGCTACTGAATAACCCTGTCGTATCATAATCCAGAGGAGACCATGATATCATACTACTGAATAGCCGGTCGTATCATAATCAAGAGGAGACCATGACATCATGCTACTGAATAGCCCGGTCGTATCGCAAATCATAGGAGACCATGACATCATGCTACTGAATAGCCCGGTCGCATCATAATCGCAGGAGACCATGACATCATGCTACTGAATAGCCCGGTCGTATCATAATCAGGGGAGATCATGATATCATGCTACTGAATAGCCCGGTCGTATCATAATCAGAGGAGACCATGATATCATGCTACTAGATAACCCAGTCGCATCATAATCATAGGAGACTATGATATCATGCTACTGAATAACCCGGTCGTATCATAATCAGGAGACCATGACATCATTCTACTGAATAGCCCGGTCGTATCATAATCATAGGAGACCATGACATCCATGCTACTGAATAGCCCGGTCGCATCATAATCATAGGAACCGCGACATCATGCTGCTGGTGCCCGGTCGTATCATAATCAGGAGACCATGATATCAATTTACTAGATAGCCCGGTCGCATCATAATCGCAAGGAGACCATGATATCATGCTACTGAATAGCCCGGTCGCATCATAATCGCGGGAGACCATGATATCATGCTGCTGAATAGCCCGGTCGTATCATAATCAGAGGAGACCATGACGTCATGCTACTGAATAGCCCGAATCGTATCATAATCATAGGAACCATGACATCATGCTGCTGAATAGCCCGGTCGCATCATAATCATAGGAGACCATGACATCATGCTACTAAAATAGCCCGGTCGTATCATAATCAGAGGAGAGACCATGATATCATGCTACTAATGGCCCGGTCCGTATCATAATCATAGGAGACCATGACATCATGCTACTGAATAGCCCGGTCGTATCATAATCAGAGGAGACCATGATATCATGCTACTGAATAGCCCGGTCGTATCATAATCAGAGGAGACCATGACATCATGCTACTGAATAGCCCGGTCGTATCATAATCAGAGGAGACCATGATATCATGCTACTGAATAGCCCGGTCGTATCATAATCAGAGGAGACCATGACATCATGCTACTGAATAGCCCGGTCGCATCATAATCATAGGAGACCATGACATCATGCGACTGAATAGCCCGGTCGTATCATAATCATAGGAGACCATGACATCATGCTACGGAATAGCCCGGTCGTATCATAATCAGAGGAGACCATGACATCATGTTACTGAATAGCCCGGTCGTATCATAATCATAAGAGACCATACGATCATGCTACTGAATAGCCCCGTCGTATCATAATCATAGGAGACCATAGGAACATGCTACTGAACAGCTCGGTCGTATCATAATCATAGGAGACCATAAGATCATGCTGCTGAATAGCCCAGTCTTATCATAATCATAGGAGACCTTGAGATCATGCTTAGAAGGCGGTTTCTAATGGATAAGAGGATGGAGTCTCGATAGTTGTGGTCATATGCTGCACTCGGGTAGTCATAGGCGGTCTAAAAATTTCTATTCGGATTGTATGCAATTTCCCAAAAACAAATAGAAAATGAAGTAAATATTTAAGATAGAGAGACATTGCTATAAATTAAATAAATAAAATAATGAATAAATAAATAAAAAGATGCATAAATAAATAAATGATATCTACGTTGGAAGAAACAGATAAATAAATTGATTAATAAAATTATATAATTTTTCCCCTAGAAAAATAAAAAATAAAAAAAAATAATTAATATAATCGAACAAGAAATAATCAGAATCTTCGCTTCTATCATTTTAATTTCCATAGCTGTTGCGATTGTCTTAATTAGTTTAACAATAATGATAATTGCATTATCATTATGGTTCTTCTTATTATTATTATCCAATCATTTTAAATCGACATTATCACTTTGCATTTATCTAATTACTATTTGTACTGATATTGTTGTGATGACCTTGATCTTTTTTCAAATGTTATTGTTGCGATTTTATGCAAATTCAATGCAGAGGTTTCGATTAGTATTATTATCGATTCTAAGCAATAATCAAGATTCATAATAATATTGTTAATTCAACATCAATAATGATGGCCATAGCAGTGGTAGTAGTAATATCAATTCTATATTTGAATATCTTTTCTTGGTCAGAATTCTTTTTTTTTTTCTTCCTTTTCCTTCTTTTCTTTTTTTTTTTCTAAATATAAAACTTGTAAAATTTCGTCTATTTTATAAATTAAATCCTTTTGCTCGGTTCAAAATTAGATTCTTTTCTTTTTTTCACATATGTTTTTGTTTTCTATCTATTCAGACGGATTTATTTACCGTAACGAGATGTTCAAACTTGAAATAATGACTGTGATGAAGACGGAAAATAAAATAAAAAAGAATTAAAATGAATAAAAATAACATCTAAAAAATGAGTAAAGAGACAAAAATGGGTAGATTTTGTACGAAATAGAATCGGGGAAAATTGAAACGAAATTAGCAACGACAAGAGTGAAACTCACAGGAAGTAAACAATTCAGGGGATAGAAGTTACTTCCGGAAATATTCAGGTGCAAAGGGTAGTAGACCTTAAGGTCTTCCCAGCTAAAACTAAATATGGAAAAATTAAACAATTATTTATTTATTTATTTTTTTGCTTTCATGAACTATTTTTTTTGTTTTTATATATTCTTTATATTTTATTTTATTTATTTTTGTCTTCATATTTATTTATTTATTGTTCATTATTTATTTATTGTTCATTATTTATTTATAGTTCATTCGTTTTAAATTTGTAAATGATGTCGTTCAGTTGAGAAACTGTGTTTATGATACTCGCGATAATACGTCACAATAAAATCTCGAAGTTTATGTAAGGTTAGAACGAAGCCACGTGTGCTCGAATGAATGGAACGACAGTTGCTGAAGAGGCACATAACAAACTATACTATTTAAATTTATTTAATATCCAAAGGGAATCCAAAT